CACCCTAAGCATGACCAAGATGTCGTTGGATCATGGTCATGGTCATGGTCCATGCCGACCTTGGTCATGGTCATGTCCATGCCGATCTTGGTCACGGTCCATGCTGGCCGTCGCCGATCCACAAGGACTCTGCACGATCGAATGCTGACCAAGATGGACGGTGACGATTATCGAGACGACGTTGTCGCGCTCAGTCTTGGTCATGATTCCCGTTTTCTCGCCCACCAATACCAGCGCCCCGCAGCGCGAAGGGTATCCGCCTGTCGGCGGCACCTTGCACGAGCCTCCTGGCAAGCGACGGGCGGCCAGCCAGAGCGGAGGCATTTTGCAAGAGGCCGGCGCCCCTGTCCCGCGGCATGGCCGCCGCGCCCCGGCCGCCCCCGAGCGAGCCCTTCGCGGGCGGGCCTCCCGGCCGCGGGGCCGCAGCGGGGCAGCTTGGGCACCGCGGGCGCCGCCCCTGCGTCGACCGCCCGCTTGGCATCGCTCGGACGTGTGCGTTTCTCCTTCGGCGAGGACCATCGAGGAGCATCCGTGATGATTTGGCGACGAACACCACGCACGACACCCAACAAGAACACGGGGAATAGACGTTCGAGCGAGGGCCAGCCGCCCGCGGACGGCATCTGCACGCCGCCGCCGTGGCTGGCGAGGGCCGGCCCGGTGCCGCGCGGGCGGCCCGCGCAGGCTGCAGCGCGAGGTCGCCGCGCCACTGCGAGCAGGACCAAGGGTCTGAGCGTCGCTCCACCGCGCCTCGCCCTCCGAGGCTTTGAGGGGTGGGGAGGGCTCGAGGCTTCGAGGCTTCGAGGCTTTGAAGCTCCCCCGCCCCTCGCGCCCGCCAGGGCGCCGATCGCACAGCGCTTGGCGGCGCGCAGAAGGGGGTGGCGGGAGGGGCGAAGGGCTTCCTAGAAGCAGGCTGCTTCTTAGAAGGCGCCAGCCTTGCATCTATAGATAAGGCGCCAGCCTTAGAAGGAGGCTGCTTCTTAGAAGGCGCCAGCCTTACATTCTATGGACAAGGCCCGCGCCCTCGAAGGTGCAGGGGTGCTTCTAAGAAGCCCTTCTGGGGTCGCGCCTCGTGCGCCCCTTCCTCCTTCCAGGCGCTCTGGTGAAGTCGGGCCTGTGCCTCTGGAGGAGGAATTTTCGAGCGTCGTCAGGACAATTGTCTCGGGACGGTCTTCTGATTCTGTTGAAACAACATTTAAACACTTTTGGAATGTCTTTTGTCGCCCAACCTCGGCCTGCAGTGAGATTTGCCCGACCTAGCCCTTTGATGCATCGAGCGAGACCAAGGGTCGAGTCCACCGCGCTTCGCCTCTCGAAGGGGGGACGGGGGCCAGGCGCCTCGTGCGCTGCTCCTCCCTTGGCCGCGAGGCGTGCCCGCGAGGCGCTCGCCAGGAACGGCCTCGCCTTGGGGGGGTAGTCGAAGGCCAGACTGGCAGATTGGATTGGGCCCCAAGGGCCAATCAGGCCTGGCCAGATTGGAGGATTTGGGCTATTCGCCAGACTGGATTCGCGTCGGCTCCCTCGCCAGACTGCCCCCGTTTGCCAGATTGGGCCTGCCAGATTGGCGCCAGATTGGCTTCGACTACCTAGCTTGGGGGGGGTCGAAGTACCCAGGACCCTCCAGAGTGCCAAAACATAGCCCTCCAGACCTGCAGACCTATCTGGAGTGCTTAAAATCGGGGGCGGCCAAGAGGGGGGTGATGGCTTTGGGAGGGTGGGGTATATCGACGTAGGCCATGATATCCCCCCAATATCAGTGTGGCGCCTCGTCTTAATTTCATTGCGTCCCTGGCCCCCTCCCCCCCCCCTTGGTCCAACGCACGTGCCGCCGGCCATGATTTGCGCCCCCCCTCTTGGACGCCCCCCTCTTGGCCGCCCCCGATAAGACCTCGACGGGATTTTGTGTTTGGCCCCCCCATTGCTGGTCTAAGCTTGCGCTCCGGCACCCGCGTGTAAGATCTTACGGTCTGAGCGTGCCCCGCCGCCCGCGGATTCTTGTCCTTCTCCCGCGCCCTCTGCATAATCCTGAAATGCTCAATTGGGCACCGAGGTGCCCCTCGGCTGTCCCGTCCGCGTCTTCCAGTATACGCCTAGGCCGCCGCTGACCAGAAAGTTTCGAGCTCACCCTTCCCCTCCCCCCCTCCGTCCCTCCCTCGCGCATTCCCTCCCTTCCTCCCCCCCCTCCCTCTGCCTCTCTCCTCCCTTCCTCCCTCGCCCCTCCATCCTTCCCTTCCCCTCCCTCCCTCCCTTCCTTCCCCTCCCTTCCCCTCCCCTCCCTCGCCCCTCCCCTCCCCTCCCCTCCCCTCCCCTCCCACCCCCGCCCTCGAGCAGGCCCTGCGGGGCGAGCTTGCGAGGAAGGAGCACGAGGTCGTCGGCGCGGAGGCGGAGGCCGAGCTGGCGCGGGGCGCGAAGGACCGCGAGGCCGAGGCGACCCTCCGGCGAAGGGGGGAGGAGGAGGAGGAGGAGGAGGAGGAGGAGGAGGAGGAGGAGGAGGAGGAGG